GAGAGTAAGGGACGCGAATACCAGAGGCAAACGGGAATCATACATATATCTATATACAAGAGTGCAAGAGCCGCGTGAACGCGTATAAGGTTGGCAACCCCCTCTGTCTAATACCGACCTGACTGTAGGAAGAGTATATATTCGGACCAACGGGCAAGCCCCGAAATAATTCAGAGGGTGCCCACCCCTCCCGGCTACTTCTCTACCTAAGAAAAAAAAAAAAAAGAGAATCTTTTTCGTATCCGGCGAGATTGCGAAATCCCGGAACGAGCTCTGTCCTGTAATTGCCACAAGATAGAATTCCGCGTAGATTTCATTCAGCCCCTAGAGTTTTCCCCTTTAACCTCCCTCGCCCCTGGTAAAACCATTGTTGGCTGTTGTTTTGCTTCGCTGCCGCGAAGAACAAGACTCGAGGATCGTTTAGCGAAGAGGTTCAGTAAATATGAGAGATTCTGCATCCTAGAATCCCATTATACGATATACAATCTCGTTTCCGGGTATCACTTGCGGAAGTTGGCTGAAGTTCTACCAGTGATCGAGAATTTGCATCTTCGCTATCGAATATTTCCCCCTCGGTGGCGTCGCGACGGAATTCACCGAAGATCTACCGACGCGCGAGACTCATTAATCACTTGGTAATTAAATCGTGCTCGAGCGTCAACGGCACTTGCTTAATTGCCAAACACGCCGGGATGTATCCTCCTACCTTGGTATATCCTTCCTATGCTTAGTGTACTATACCTATTTAGTATGCGCTTGTATATATATATATATATAGGATATATTCGTTTACACTCATTTACCCGCATCTACCTAGATGACTCCTCTCTATCAGCTGTATTTCAGGGCGATCCACTCTAGTCGGATCTGAGATATCCGGTAGGGTGGCTGCCTGTCGCCGACTCACGAGAATTGTAAACCCGCCCAGAGAGACGCAGAGGAACAAAATAGAATGACGGCGGTCACTGCTAATAATAGCTTGGCCGAGTCCAGGCCGAAGCGTCCGACCCAAGAGCAAGACGAGAGCGGAAAATGATAATGAAAATGTGGATGAAGAAACGGGGGGTATCGAGGAGGTCGAGGCTGATGAAGCGGTCGTATACGTCCAAGGTGAATAGTTACGATTGCTTCGACTAAGGTCATCGGCAGTCTTTCTAACAATCACGACAATAAATTAGACGGTCTGGTCAGTGTCGGACAGGCTGAACCGGAATCTATAAACATGGTCCGGTCCATGAACAGCGACTGTCCGAGTAATTCCGGATGATCTGGTTTTTTCTTTAAATGTCATCTCCGAGTTTGCCTCTTGTCCCAGCATCCTCGCTTCAGTCTTCTCTGCGACTGATTCTCGTCGCGTCACTTGTCGGTAGCAATACTGATCCGGATGTCAAAGGCGTCGCAGGATGAATTTCCTGAGTTTGACGTCGGATCGATTTGAGAGGCGCTGCTGAAATATGTAGCGTGTAAACACACGCGGTCCCGAGGTCGGTGCGAAAAGTAACGCAGGAACATCTGTTGTCTGTCATAAGAATCCCGCCGAGGTCTTCGCGAAACTCGTTGAGGAATTTGCCAAGCCCCAGGAGTAGCTGACGAAGGTAGCCGGGATACGTTGGTAAACCCAAAGCGATATGGCCGACTGGACCGGCGATGTATGAAAGTGAGGGATGATGCTGGAGAGTGCGAGAGAAAGGGCCGTGTGATTACGAGCGGTTCAGGGGTCTCATTAGTCTCAGGGGTCGGCGAGAGGTTCTAAAAACAATTTGCCCAGGACACTGACAAGAAATGTGTCGAAGTCCGGAGGAAGAAGTTTGGCGATAAATCAGCTACGCGCGGGAGTCAGCTTCCTCCCAGAGTCATCAGCAGGGTCCAGGACTCGTTCCTTCCACTCCCTTATTTTTTTGTCCACCTCTGAACGAAGTGACCTCAGCTCCCGTGATAGATGGTGGCTTGACTCGCTTTATTTCAATCTTCGCTCCGTTCCTTAGAAAATCTGTGAAACCCTCTGTTTACGTGTACTTTGCAGGAACTAGGAGGAGCTCAGTGACTCAGTGGACCAAACAGTGGAGCTATAACGAGTTACGTGTAGAGAGCGCGGGGTACTTCGAATGCTTGGAAAGCTTTAAATGTCCACCAGACGTCGCCACCGTTCGCATCGCTTCTCCGTGTACCGGAGACAAATTTAGCCGTGATCTCAGATTACAAATTTCCACCCCTAGGAACTCGATCTCCTCTCGCCGAGGTTGAGGTAGTTCATCAAGAGGAATACGAGTAGTCCCTAATTTCTCAAAGTTTATCCCAAGAGTTAAAGATCTCATCCCTCCAGCATCCCGGCGTATAATCTTTGAATTGAACAAAGACGTCCGCGAGGGCTGCTCTCAAGCGAGAAAACACGCACTTGACCTTCTCCCAGGGCAAGATTCTATTCTAGCGTTTATTTTAGATCGCAGCATCCCAAACCTAACCTAACTCCGGCTTAGCCTCTACACATCCCGACCCCTCAGAACTTAACTCCGCATGGCTACTGCCGTCAGTCGTACCGTCCAGCCATCCCAATACCGCGTCTCTATATTCTAACGTCTTTATCAGCCGTATCAAATAATTACGTTTACATTGGATTCCTTACACTGGCGCACGTGAATCCAGTCGAACGAGTCGACAGAGTACAATGTCATGGCGCGCTGAGCTAGAGTGCCGGAGTACTGCGACAAAGTTTACTTTTACAGGGAAACAAGGGTACCGCCGGGTAATTAGCGGTTCACACTTGACCCACTAACGCGCTAGTGTACTGAAAACATGACGCCGTGAATATAGACGATTTTACACGTGTACCCAGAGATACCCAGAATACCTACGTATCCGGACACAGTGTCTACACGTATGCGACCTACATGGGTAACATATGCTGGGGTTACAAAGTGATACTAATGCCGGCTCTTAGACTAGGAATTACAATTAGACACGAGAATTCAAGCTCTACGGGCTCATCTCCCACATGGTCGATATCAAGGTAATTTAATGACAGAAATGTGCCTGTCAATGCGCAATCGATACTAACGAGCGTTTTTTCCCGGATTTATAGTTTTTCTTTCACGGGACAGATAGGTACCCCAGGACGACTGAGGTTATCTAACCAAGGTGTCGCAAGGTTCCGATCATCCTCTAGCTTCTTTATAGCCACTGATAAAATGCCGCATCGACTTTTGCCTAATCCCTTATCGCTTACTGATAAGAGCACGCTATGCGTATGTACATATAATATCCTGAGATCCACTTTGGTGCGGATACATAAAGTCTCCCTCGTCTTCTCCTCCTGTTTGACGTCTCTTAAGATACTGCACACTCGACTCCAAGCTTTTCTTCATTGTTCCACCAAGTGCCAGGAAGTGTCGGACCAGGATCTTAAGCCGCAGTTAAGCTCTCGCTAATCCACAGCTTTGTCCTTCCTCGTGGTACTTGGATCCTCAGGGCGGTAACTCCGCCATCTGGTATCGTCCAACGTATTTTCACAACCAGGAGAATCACGTGCTCTGGCGTAATCGCTGGATGCGGAATGTGCTGTCAGTGGCAGTATACAGGGTGCGTCAGCGATTCTTACAAAGATTCAAATGCAATTGAAAGACGTCGCCATTGTGGTCGCCCGTTGCCGACGTTGTTGACTTGGCTTGCGGCCAGGAGTCGCGACTCCCCTTAGCATTCGAGAAATTCCATCCTGACTCCGAGCAGCGTTACCCGGAAGTGACGAAGAGATTCGGAAAAGGAGCGCCCAGCCAAGCTTTACGTACGACCGGGTGAAATTATAATGACGTAGACTCGTGTCACGGAGGTCGACAGAATTTAGTGACGAAAAAAAATTTCGCAAATAAACTAACCAATCGGAATCCGCGTAACTCGCTGACGGGAAATACGATTGAACGTCACGTCTAGCGACAGCCGAGTATCGGTGATATTGAACTTTTTAACAAAAATGAAAAAAAAAAGCCGATTAACAAATTCCGGACGTTTTCGCTTTGATTGCTAATTACATTACGCTAGATTAATTAACCTTAAATTTTTCGCCGGAACAAAACTTTAACCAAGTATCGCCCGTCGTTCCTGACAGTCGCGTCGCTTAAGACACCCGCGTTATCGAACGACGCGTCGGCTACGTCTCCCCGGTTGAGAGTGTACATTGTCGTTATTGTGGCGAACGGATTTTATAATGAGATACCACGTAAACTAGGACATCTAATTATACTCGAGAGTCTTCCAGAGGCAAAGTGCCCTTCGACCTCCCTTCCCTCCCCTGCTTCCAGGCATCTCACCCTTACACTACGCGGTCTCAGTCAAATAACACGTAATTTTTCAAAACAAACTTGACATTATTCAAACAACCATATAGTCTAACCGCGAGATAACAATGCGGTGGGTACGTGGGTCCCAATCTAAACCATAATCCATAACTTGATATGTATCCGGTAACCAATAAATTCCGTATAATTCGGTGATACCAGGACCCCTAGCAGGTCTGAGAGTGACTAATAACTATAACATCCAGCATCTACCCGCCCTGGAATTTTAGTCACCAGCGACCCCATTGCGAGTTGGCAAGCGGTTTACGGGCAAAGGAAATAGTATCCATCTACTCCGTGAAAGTAGTTGCGATAACGTGGCAATTCGTGACACAAGCGGTTATCTGGTATCGTCAACGAGATTCGTGTTCTCGTTATCGAAATATTCTTTCTTTCCCCAGAGGAAGCTACGATAAATCGCAGATAGGCCGTGTAGTAAGTAGCTAAGTTGTTTGCGGATTGGCAAGTGGATAGCCTGCTACCGAGCGGAAGTTAGCCATTAGTAGGATACGCAGGGTGCACATCATGGTGGACTGATCTTGCTTTTCCATAACGACACTCGCAGTTGGGCCAGGATGAGATCAGTAGGAATGTCTGTTCCAGGGACAAGGGATGTCACAACCAGAATAATCTTGAGAGTGCGCTGGAAAACGGTGCAGTGGGTTGTTTTACCCAGAATGCCGTGCATCTGAGACTGGATTCAGGAACGTCGAGGAGTCTGAAGTTGGCTGAGAGTCTGAAGAGGAATAGCAATATTAAAATTTTAAGTGTGACGTAAAGTGTAATGAGGGACAGAGAGGGGATACATAAGAGAGGATGAGCAATTGGATAAGGATAATGGCGAATCCGTAATACTTGATGCTAACGTTTGAGGTTATGGTTATGGTTATTGTTATGCCAAGCAACATCTACCGCTGCTTCAGACCCACTTCCGCTTCCTGCTGCTATATTTCTGTGTGCTGTTATCTTGTCCATCTACGTGATGGCTGTTTTACCTCGGCAAGCAGAGGCATAGTAAAAGGGAGAGAGAGAGAGAGAGAGAGAGAGAGACAGTGACACTGTTATTCAGAAGGTACTCATTATCAAAGAGGCAAAGGTTATCGATCAGCCACTCGCAAAGCCCTTCACTCCTTTTCTAGCCACTTGAATCGTATAAAGATTCCAACGAGGTGAATATAAAACGTCCAATTAATTCGTTAAAGAATGAATCCGAGGAGCCTGTGCAAACTCAATAAGAATGGTATACGAGGTTATGAATTCGCTTCGGTGCAACAAAGCGGACTGAGAATGACGACGGACGTGGCAGCAGCCAGCCCTACAGATGGTAAAGAAGAAACGAGGAATTGTAAGACAGTTAATAGGACGAGCTCAGGGGATGCAAATTAAATGTAGCTCGTTAAAAAGATATAACCGGTGGGCGAATTGAATCTGCGTTGGGAATTAGATAAGGGAGGGACATCGGTTAACTCGAGTAAGCGTCAGGGGAGGTTAGAGAAGTGGGACTTAGAGGTGAGAAAGATAATCGAGAGTGAAAGAGGTAAACGAGAAGAACCAGATACAGGTGAGTTCTTAGGCATAGTACAAATGGCTAAAAAATTTACTACCCTTGGTTCAAGGGTCGCACGCTTTATTGAAATTTTTACCCGCTCGATCGATATTTTCCTATTTTATTATTTCATCCGTTATGGACGTAGGGGTGGGTTCCCGGGTGGCGCCACTGACCTCCGAAGGCTGACGAGCTTCGCGAGGGTTCTGGATGACGAGAGGGAGAAAGTTAGGAAGAAAAGGGATACAATCCTGCCGCCAAGATACAAGAGGTTGTATTTTTAACGTAGCCTATCTATACCCGGAGACGAGCCACTAAACAAAGTACAGGGTTGATTTAAAAGCCTCAGTGGTGCTCATTCCGTGACGTAATCCCGAACCCCTGTCGAATTACGACACCTCGCGTCGAGGATTTCGCCAAGGAGCTCGGGGTGGTCGGAATGGAGCGACTCAAGAAAGGTTAGAAGGTAAGAAGGTAAAAATACATAGCTGCCTGTTCGTAAGGGACGAGGGGTGGGACTCAAGCTTGGCCAGGGGTTTGGAAAGGTGCGCACGAGCGTGACCTCGTAAATTATTCAAGCCCCATCAATTCACTTGAAAAGCTGTCGAGTTCTTCGGTGGTTTTGCGCCGGCGGACGGGAACACCGGATTCTAAGTTTGCATGTAAAATGCCCAATTGACCATCTTCGCGGTCCTGCCCTAAGACGTTGATCGAGCTGAACAGTCAACTGAACACGTCTACGTCATAAGCAACCAGACACAGTTGGCTACTCTAGAGAAACCAGAGCTGTTTGAATAGTCGATATAGAAATGGGGGGAGGGAGAGAGACAAGGTATTTTTCAAGTGGCAGCAGAATAAAATGCTTGAACGAAGGTCGTAACCTACATGCGAGATAGAATGCTAAATCACTAGGAGGCAGAGAATGGAGATCCTCGTTAAACCGCGTCTCCATCCCCGGTGGCCATTTCTAACCACCGGGGGCCGATAACAGGGCCCTGAGGTGGCTTTAAGCTCCTAAGATCCCCTATTCACGTTCTCTCACCTAGCCCTATAGCTAGAGCACCGTGAAATACCAGGAGGCTACAGTATTGCTCGTCGAGATGAAAACGACCACCTGGAGACGCTCTCTGTATCCTGGGCAAGACGGGGGTATATATACGTATGGTATACAGAAGGTAGGACCTGGGTTTCAGCTGACAGGCAACCTGAAAAACGAGTCAGGATCGCTTTGCTCCATTTGCGAAGTGTCCACGAGCAACAGGCTACACGATTCCGCACTCGTCGACGCTCGCGGGCGTCGCGACGCTACGTGATGTAATAAGAGACCCACCACTGCCAACGTAAACTCGATCTACCGGTCTTCCTGGGTTTTTCCAATTTTTCAGGAAATATTCCTCGAGTGTCAGGAAACAGGATGTCCCTGATAGAGGAGTAAGAGCATTCTCGATTCCCGCTATCCTCCAAGCATCTTTTGGGAAGAGTCAAGGGTGAACAAAGTAGTGAGCCCTGGATAAGAAGAAGAAGAGGTTATGGCGTTACAAAGGATTTTGTAAACAAGTATTCTACCTCCAGATGCTTTTAAGAGCAAATATCGTACACAACATCCCACTTGAATCTTTTTGAAAATTTATTAGCTCCCATCCTAAGGCTAGCTACTCGAGTATCTACCATCGACCCAAGAATGCTATAGTAAGAGTAAAAGAATAATGAGGATTAAATTTAATGAAAGATGCTGGGTAGCTAGACTGTCTCAACCTGATACCTGATGAACCAAGAAAGAAGTAAACCTTCATAAGACGTAGTTGAACGTCCGGACTGACTATGCACCAGGTATTATCACTCATTGTTCTTCTAGTGGCCAAAGTAGACCGAGTCCTCTTGGTACAGCCAAAAGACTTCATCTTGGCCCCAAAACACAGAAAGGCTATTCTGATTTAAGATTTTGACATTCCAAAAAAGTCCTACGTTCCTATGAGAATCACAGGGTCTACGACTAGGACGCCTCAATGGATAAATGCCTGGTTGACCTACGTCGAGATTCCGAAATTTTCCAAGAACGACAAATGACGCCAAAATCATATCACGAGTCTGTGTAAACGTAGGACGAAAATAGCGATTTCAACAGGCGGTACCGAGTGACGAATTTTTCATCGCAGCATGAATCGGCTAGAAATATAGATTGACTTCCTCTCTGTCTAATAAAGTCACAGACGTGTGTTCCATATGCTTCCTATGTATCCTGAACCGACATACCCCTGCCACCTTCTTCATCTGACGTAAGTCGCGGCCGTGGGTGTAGCCTTTTTATATCGGACTATCGTCCCCCATCAGATTATCGGTGAAAAGCCAATGGCCATGGTATTAAAGCAGACTAATAGCAGCATCCAGGAATACGTTTCAATCTTGCGACGAGGGACGCAGAAGCTTTCAGAACGTTCGGTACTAAACGCAGTGTGGCGCAACTCCAGGGGGTAGCTGGCCACCCACCACTGTTAACCACTAAGCACCACCATCCTCCACCAGCAGACTTCACCGGCATTCTCTCCGTTCTCATTACCGGAGCCAGGTACTTGAATAGAGTCAGAAGATTGCCGATATTACGTAGACTCGCTAGAGCATCTTCTTCGTGAAAAACGAAAAGAGGCGACTGGTACTAAAGGGAATGAGAAGGTAGAGAATGAACCGTGTGAAAAAATATAAAAGTAAAAAGATATCAAGTAAAAGTAGAAACTGACAGGACTTGCCCACGTGGATGATCGTTACCTCGTTGCATCAAGGAGGCGACGGTGCTTGGCATCGCGATGAGCGTCGAGGACTCCTCTTCTCAATGGCAGTGTCGAACAGCTGATGGACGATCGTCGTCTCCGTCGTCAGATCGTTGACGCGGCGTTAACCCAGTGGTCATCTCCGAAGCAAGGATCCTCCTTCGTCCTCGTTCATCCTCCAACCGATCAACTGACTCCTTCCGGTCCAGATACTGTTACAAAGAAAACAGATGATTGGTCATTTGGAATAGATCATTATCAGTAGATACGTATGACGCGCATGACGTGGGTTATCTCAATTATCAATACTAACGTCCTGATGGTAACGATGGTAACGGGGCTCTAGGGTTACTTCCAGCGATGACAACATTTTGCTAGCAACTATAATAAGCGCGGATCGATGCTCATTACAGTCATCAAGTGGTTAGCTACAGCGGAACGTTACTCGCGCACTGTTCGTATCTTCGCAAAGTGATTAAAACGTGTACCGATCCATTGTACCTTTTAATTGTGTTTATATTTCCCCATTATTAGTCCCAATATTTACCCTAACGATACCTTGACCCCTTGTACCAATCAGGTAGCGGTAGAACAAATATCTACTATGTACTTCATGGCAAAGTAATGGAGACTGATTGATAGTAGGAATGACCAGGATTTGAGTATATACTATATCTATATAAAAAGTGACATCACGAGGAGAGTGATTTACCAGACTGTACCGAGCAGCACGTGTACTGGGGTAAGGTACCGTACAACCCCATAGAAAGCAAGGGATGCGTGAGCATTTTTTTTTTTTAGAAAATTTAATATTGAAAGATGAAGCTTTCACTAGGTAGTTCTGAATACCCTAGACACCCCGGAGGTTCGGTAGACTTGGTAAAAGAGTAAGACCCTGGAGAAATTCTGCGCTACGCATTCATTGCTGTTCGAGTAATCGTATTAAAGATTGGATGATCCAGAGAGGAGCAGGATCTGTTGCATATTTAACGTCGGTACGAGCCGACCTCGTCCCCGTGGTCTCCTGAGGTTTCCTCGTGTATGATTAACGAGAGACAGTGACGTACCTTCCTCCTTCACTGGGGATCAGTGGAGGCAGGCTCCTGGTAGTTCTGCATCCCGTCGCGTGACTCTCTTGGTTATTAACTGTTCCTCGTGATCCACGTACCACTCTTCAGGACTTCTCTACCACCTGACCGTACGTTAGAGCGTCGTTGATCCGGGTAAAAACGACGTCTGTCCCTTGGGCGTCTCTCGGAAGGAGTTTCCAGCCAAAAACATAGCAAATACGTAGCCGTTCGAATAGATGTCACTGCAATCGATTGATCGACGTCGTATGTCTTGATCACTGAGCACGCACTTTTCCCACTTGCTCCATAGGTGGTACGACTAAGGACACTGTTACAGCTCGTCACCAGTAACAAGTCTTCTTCGATCATTCCGCGTTGGACTTGCGATTAACAAAAGATATTCACGTATCCGTAAAACTGAACGTATCGCAGGTACGTTATCAGCTTCTTCCTTCGGCTGGGCCAGGAGCAACTTCATCTGCGCCTGTTCGACCGTACCTGGACACGCGACCGCGTCCTTGCCAATTAGCATAGAATGATCCAAAATGGTGGTTAGCTAGCCGCCATTTTTAGGCGCGTAGGACTCCTTCCAGGATGATCTTGCTGCATTACTCTAGCACCTGTCCATAGAGTAATTCATTAATTACAATCTTCCCGTACACACGTCAGCTGAACAAGGTCGGCTCTATGACACTATATCTATGCGTGCTTCAATTTACGTGACAATAAGGTCACGAACGAGAACAAAAGACGATCTCGCGGATTCGCGCGAGCAAGACGTAATCAAAGGAATTAAAACTGAGTTAACAAGATTCTCATAGTCAAAGGTTCACCCGCTTCACATCGCGACCTTACACTCTTATTGTTAGCCGACCTGGATAATCCTTGGTCCCGTATGACCGTCAATTTATATCGGCCCGCAAGAGCCCGGAGCACCTATGGGCTTTCGATTTAGGAATTAGCCTCTCATCGACAGACGACTGCCTATTGGCCGCGCACTAGGTAGCCATTCATTGCTAATATCCTCTAGCAATCAGGTACGCGTAGCAGTACACGAAAAGCCCGGCGCGATGCCTTTACAAGAGTAAGTGAGAGAAGAAAAGTAATGCGGAGACGAATGAAAGAATTTGAACTGAAGAAGAAGAAAGATATTCGGATGGAGTTAGAGTAGGAGAGAGTGAAAGACAGAGAGAGGTAGTACTTAATGTATGCGTACGTTATACTCTGGTCGAGTGTATGCAGCCTCCCTCTTGGGATCCAGAGTGCTCCCACTAGCTCCCTTTTCCTCCTTATCGTATAAGCGTACAAGCTTCGACAAGAGAAAATGAGAGAGATTATGAAAGAGAAAGAGAAAAAGAAAGAGAGAGAGGAAAAGAGAAGCACGCATACACAGTGACCGCACTACGTCACGCACACGTTACTGTCCCGTGTACGATTTTCGAAACCCGCACGCGGAACAACAGCGCTGCTTTCGGCACGAAGTCGCGCGCTCCACTGAGCCATGGGCATGCGTCTGTCTATCCCCCTTCTTCATCCTCATGGACCCCCTCTGACCGCTCAACTACCTACAACCTACAACCATCCTTCCTCCCGTCCAACCACCCTCGAAGCAGCTTGGCCCGTTAAAATTTTCGAACGTGTGCGCACCCCGAGCGTCGCCGTATGCAAACAAGATGCAACAGATGTAAACGGCTCTGCTCACTACTACCGTCGTAGATGCCATCACTGTCACTGAGTCCTTCGACCTGACGAGATGAAAGCGCTTTAAAATTCTTCAGTCGAAAAGACTCTGTATGACTTTGGCTAAAAAAAAAAAAAGAAAATTATATACAGATAAGTAATGTCGTAGCGACTGCACGGGCTGTTGACTTTTAAAATTCGCGAGAAATAAAGACCTAGGTATAGACGTACATTAACGCAAGGTAGCTCGTTTAATGAGTTAAGATCATGGATAAAAATGGAATGGATGCGGAGCAGGTGCGATACTTACAGATAATGTCTGCCTTGCCTTTCCGCTTTATTGAAGCACGCGTACAAAATTATGACTATATTTTTTAATTTGTAAGAAACAATAGACGTGATTACGTCGTTCATCTCCGGATGACGATACAGATGCTTTCACGTGACACAGGGGCTGGTACCTCTTTTTCGATCTGCCAAGTGAGTCTTTATGATCTCGAGAAATTGCGGTCGATCCAAATGAGTGTATGCGATTGCAAGCATTTGAATGGCCATAGTATGGACGTGGTTACTGCCGCTGGAAAAGAGGTCATGACCCAATTCGAGACAAGTTCCGAAATCGCACTCGTCAGCTGCTATCGTTGCCAGTCTTGTGACTTCTAGTAGGCTATTTAAATTATCCTCGCGAACATTGTCGTCCGATGTTTCGTCAATGTTCTTTAAGATTTTTCGTAATTTACCTGGAACGGAGAAAAATCGATGCTTTTTATGTGAGCTCATGATAATACAATTTTACCAATGTCACCTACTGTCGGTTACAGCTAGTTCCCGGTAGCCAACTTGTGTTTTTTTGTTGTAAGGAACTACGATGCCTGCACCGTGTAACGTTCTTGCCACTACCCGCTTCTCTCTAGCTTTCATTGAATTGGTATTGGTTTCCAAAGTTATTTTATGTTTCTTTGCATAACTCTTAAGACTCTTTTGAAGGTTAGATAGCTTCATCTTATTGAACGGACTAGCGCGTTTTAACTCAGTATCCATATACGCGCTAGAAGATATAATATATGTTATTAAATCGGTTGGGGTATGATAAATTTCACTGTGTCTGTATGCTACCTCACTGCTGAAAAGATGTTATCGGCAACTGGAACTATTTTACAGTTGACATTCACACTGTTTGTTGCTACGAATACAGGATTCTCTGTGGGTTCATCCCTCCAGTAGCCAAAGTGGAGACCATCTTTACCCTCAACATTTAGGATAGTCTAGAATACAATATAATGCTAAATATTGAATATTGTTTTTCACAATCAAACGAAGCTTGTATACTTTTGATTTACCTGGAATTCAGGTGGATCGTAATAAAATCTCCAGTGCGTTAAATATTGTTCTTTTTTTAAATCGTTCCTGTCATCGAGTTTACTACTAAGTATATCATAAGGCCCTACTAACGTAAGCTTTACTATCTTGAAGGTTCCAGAGAGATCATTCGGAGAAACAGTTTTACAGAAGTCATAAAATTTATAAAAATCTTCTGGCATCTTTACAAGAAACTTGTCAACGATACGTTGCTCAATATCTGACACATTTATGGACATAGCTCTCTCACTTAGTTCTGTAATTTCTGAGTCACATTTGCTGACAGATGTTTCCGATGTACTTGCCACTGGCACTGCAGCTTCATCTCCTGCGGTATTATGCTCAGGACTCTGAGAGAGTTCATGATCACCTTTATTTAGCAACGGAGAATTTTCTCTCTTAAGCTTAGTCTGTGGCACTATTGTTTCTTTAGATATATCAGATTTATGTTCACTTAACTTTCGTTTCCTGCTAGCAGTTGTTACTCCAACGTTCTCCTCTTTTTGCTGTAACAATGATGTTAAAATCATAGGTTAAAACTACATATAAATAATACACGTAATGAGGTAGTTAGATTGTTATGAAATTTACGTACCTGTTCGTGTTTTGGAGGATGTTTGTACTTGCCGTGATGAGCAGGATTCTTTTGATAACATTTAACACCATACTGACAGGGAATTCGTGGATCATCGCTGTTAACTTTTTCAGTATCATCACTGTCTCCCATCTTTCAAATTCAATTTGATACGAATACTTCGTTTTGGCGCCAGACTTGTATAACGTATAACTCTGGATGCCATATACATATACAGTTATACTTTATACATCCATTCAAATTGTAGTTCATAGAATTGCCGCTTTAGAGGGCAGCACCTCCTGGACAGCCGCATGCGCCATCTCTGGGAATTGGTCAGAACTAACAAAATTTCCGAATAATCAAAGAAATGGCAAGACGCATTTTTGTAAACTACATTTGCAATGGTAGATAAGAGCTCGAGAAACTAAAATTATTCTCCGAGTTCATACGATAACAATTACTGAACGCAATGGTAACGAGTATTACGATACCTAACAGATGACAGCACAATCGATTCTGATTTTATATTTAGTAGACAAGAGATGTTTATGTATTTGCAATCAATCAAATCAATGAATGATATTCAAACAAACATACGTTTTACATACCTTCAACATTGACGCGTAAGCAATGACGAGAAACGAGAGCTCTCAAATACCATAAAGACGATCGAGATCCAAGCAATTGTCTGGTTACGATAAATCCTAAGATCATCAGCTCGTGCCAGCAGAGTAAAGACAGCACGATTCTCTGCAGTATGCAAATATTATCGGTCACGTATGTAGCTCGCCACGTGACACACACGCGGAAGTTTACAGCATCGCATGTCGTGGCAAATGCATTCCTGAACCGCGCCCGTTCTTGCTTTTCTCTCACAATCTTCCTCATGCTTCTGTGCATTCTCATTCCCAGCATCGCATCGAGCCTGGACCACCCGCAAAGCAGTCGTCACTCCACTACGACGAAGCGTCGCGTCTTCCCACCGAATATCTGCAAGATCTTCAGGCACTGACTGGTACCATCCTCCATCGTCGAACCTACGGGTCAAATAAGAAATACAAAGATAAGCTAAAAATGAAGCTATAAAAGCTCAAGAATTCAAAGGCTTCGGTACCTCCAGGAAGAAACTGTCCCTATGCCTTCCTGGGCGACCAATTGTCATTCCATGGGTGCTGGTCGTCGCTCGTCAGGTTATAATTTGAGATTCAGGGTGGCGAGCGTGGGTGAACGTGCGTCAAGGTGTGCGAGAGACGGGTGACGGGTGACAGGTCGATGGGTGAGAGAACCTAGAGATTCCTGGCAGGGAGAGGAAGCGCGTGGAATTCCTCTTGCACGCTCTTCTCTTTCCTCTTGGCTCTATCATCAAATCCAAGACTCGCGGCTTGTACGTCAATCTTCTTCCGCTGTTTGCCCGCTGCCTCTTTCTCGAGTCATTTAGATATTTTGGATGGCCTCATTCTCGCAGAATCTACACGTAGAAAGAAGACCGATTATTATCAAGCAATCGAAAAAAAGATAAAATAAACTGTCGAGGTTAGAACGTCGAGACGCCATAAAGGCGTCAGTAGCATCGATCGTTAGCCGACCGAAATATCGACAGAAAAAAAAAGTATTTAATATAACAACTAATCAAATACCTGTCTATAATTGATACGCCGTCTGGAAGTTATATTTTCGGTTAAGTAACTGAATTATAGAACGAATAAATATGTTTCCGATAAAGGTCGACGTACGACTAGCAGTCTGAAGTTAGCTGCGATTGACTTTTTCGAGGTTGACAGAGAATATAATAAAGAAAGGATAGACGACAGAGAAAGAAGACCAGGAAATACTATAGGAACGGACACCGAGGAGGAGTTCAAGAGTGGCATTGTTCTCTCTGGAACGCATTCCAGCGAAGGCCAGAGTCGCATTGCTCTATGCTCTACCGTCTTCGGTGCACGCCCGTGGACGTCCGCAAGGCGGGAACCCACGATTAGTTATTCCCAGACTGTGATGTCGTTATCGGAGGCGTAATATTATTTACCGGCAGTTTGAGGATTCCGACTAGAGCGGAAACGCATAGCTGGACGTTCCCGGGTAAAGGCAATAACGGTCCGAAGGCCGAGGGACGTGGCCTCTCGGCTATGAATTTATAAACAAGTACCCGGCCACCATTATCGCATTGCTTATGGGGCATTACCGTTCCAGGTACGGTCATTTCTGATTGCCTCGAGGAAGAACCTCTTCCTCTTGTTCATACACGTGGTACCATCGCTTGGTATCGTGAGAATCCTCATGTTCACCAGGAGGAAGATGAAGATCAGAACGATCCTAACCTAACAACTCTTCATCATTAGGTACATATCGGTCCCACGAACGACGCATAACTGAGAATAGAAAATAACAGTGTTGAATAGAGGTACGGCACTTCCTCGACGAGCCGCAAGTAGAGGTGGTGGGGAATGACTGGAGTCCAACGCATGTAAAGATCGGAAGGCGTAGAAGGTGCCGAGACACGTAGTGACGCGTGTACGGCCTCGCCCCTATCCTCCAGGTCGGCGAACATGACAACAATCTCGCATTACCGATATAACCGGGCCAGCCAGCGTTCGCACCCGTCCCACATATCAATGAACTCTGAAACAAATTCTTCTGTTATCGACATCCGGACCTTCCTGATTACCTGATAATCCAGCAAAGTCAAATTTGAACCGACCCAGTTTCATCTCCTCGCGAATAGCACTGCATCCTTGGAAGACGTCTTGTATCAGGAAGTAATAACAGCGGTACCAGAAGCACACTGACTGCACCAAGTGTCCTGGGAGATAAGTATAAGTGTATCGGCGAAGGCGCGCTCCAGAGAGAACTACGTAACAGGAAGTAATGCGGCATGAATATTAACGAGCGAAGCCCGCGGCTAGTGCGGCAAGGCGTCCGCGTATTGCGGTTCGCCACTCGTGATCACCTTCCCGTCTCGAAGAAGGAAGCTGGAGGAAGCGTCGTGAATGATTAGAAAGGCTATTTGTTATGATCACTTAAGGAACAAGACTGCGGATCAGCTGCTGTAACCCAACGTGAACCATGGCGAAGGTGGCCGAAGTCCTTGTAGGTCTAACAAAGGCGCCACACCCTGCACGAGTTCTTGGGACGGTGTGCTCGGGAGAAACGGGAGGGTCCGAGGCTCCGGGTAGGAGTATCGTAAGTCCGGACACGCACTGAGCGCTCTTGTAATACTTGGAACAGGGCGACCCAGCCAGCATACGCTTAACGTCAGCGTCTTACGTTTACTCCTGGATGACGATGTTGAGCACCAGGTAGCTGTTCCTCGATAGCGTCGTGGGATTCACCAGGCCGATGGAAGTCGTACCTGAAATTGGAAAAGACATTCTTTACTGTTTCTCATAGTTTACAGTAGCTCTCAATGGTCCGATTGAAAATGGAGTACGACACCCAGAAGATGCTTTAACAAATTAGCAGAATGATTAACGAGCGTCGCCCCTTGAAGAAGCTCAAAAGTGTTAGGACGACAAGGTAAAGGGGGTAGCACGTATAATGTTTCTCACTACTGTACCGTAAGTACTTCTCTATCCGGCTTCTAATACCTGGTAATTGAAACTCACGGAAACGTGAGGCGACTGAAGCATCATCCTCGTAGGCAAGACAGAACGAGAGCTTGAACGGTTCATGTAGTTTTTGCCGAATGATGGAATCGATAGAAAGGACGAGTGGAAACGAGTACCGTGCGCCTTGCGTAAGATGAGGAGGTAGAAGGGGAGCAGAGGGGCCATTGGTATCGTCGACCTTTGGGTCGACGCGTGCAGGAGGAATCACGCTGGCGTTACACGCACCTTACGCACTGGCAGGCTACTCACGCGTGCACGTATGCCGGGCCTACAACGGCGGCTACAACAGCATTAGGTCGACCCTGCATACTAATGGCATAAGAGGTTTTCGCCCGGCTGAGAAATTCGGTGCGTCCGGTTTATTCTGAGAATAACGCGAGAGCAAGGAAGTGCGATCGATCGCACGCGAAATATTCCCAAGATGATAGAAGCTGCATTTCTTCGAGTGGACCGCTAATCGATTTCGATCCCATCCGCCTGGGGCACTTCCTTAACCCATTCCCCGGTCCCCGCACCTCCTCGGCAAAATTATACCGCCTAATTGGCAAGAAAAATAACAGAAGACCTCATTCCCACGACGGGCACGTTCAGACAGCCCGGAGGATCACTGGAAAGGGAGTCCATACATCCTTCTAGAGGAGGAGTATCAGGAATTAAAGGACGCCCCAGGACAGTGCTCTGACGCAACGTACAGCAACGGCAGCGGCTACCATGAGGTCACATCCTTAACAAGGAAAGACGCACAATCATTACGAAATCCAACCGAGCATATCGACTGGCTAGGACTTCAGAAGTCTCTTGGTGATAAATAGAAGTTAAAATTGTCGTACCAGGATGAGCCCGATAAAAGTCCTAGTGCAATGAGGTCGGCGACTGTAAGGTGTTCGGTGAGGACACGATGAGGTGGTAAGAGCATGAAAAAGTCGATGGGTCGACGAGGTGGAGGTAGAGGATGAGAGAGTGGGTGCGACCTCGGTGCTACGAGAAATGCGCCTGACGTCCTCCGGAACGTGGTGTTGGAAGAGGCATCCGAGGAGTCAGCGAGGAAGGAGCCAGGTGAAGGAGCCTCGTCGCTGGGTGTAGGTAGCTTCCGGGAGCAGCCATGGCTAAAAGCAAGCATAATGGTTAAAGTTTCGTCCACATGCTCGTGGGTAGGAGTGAAAGGTTAGCAATATTACGTTTGGACTATAGTTCAGCACCGAGGAGAAGCTGATGAAAGTGCCTCCGTCAAGTCTAAGCGAGGCGGCACGGTGTAGTTCTTCTCCCTGGCTATTGTTCCGAGGTCCAACCTGTTGCATCGTGCGGAGCTGATCTCTCTCCCGCTCTCTCTCTGTGTCTCTATGTCTCTCTCTCTCTCTCTCTCTCTCTCTCTCTCTCTCTCTCTCTCGTCACACACTCCGCTGCCGATAGGACTCATCTGTCTGACATATCTCAAGAGCCGGCGCTATGTCCAAGAAGCACAAGTATCTCGTCCGCAGGTATATAAACTCCTAGGTAAATGCTTGAACGGCTATCGGTACTGGTTTGACCGCACTGTTACCACCCGTTATTACCATTTCGCTAATAGAGTTGCATAACGAATAGGATAGACCCAGGGTACAGATACACTGTACTACTGTTAGATAAACCCTGAGGACGTAGGTACACATTCGTGGCGGTAGCGGCTGTGCCAGTTGCGTAAGCCACGCAGGAACGGAAAAGAGGGAGATAATTTGCCGATGAAAAAGAAAGCCAACTGATTGTGAGACTGGACGAGGGCTGCGAAAGAAAAGAAGAAAGGAAAATCAAAGACGAGGATAGAACGTAGATATGGCCCCCTGGACCGTAGAATAAAAATTCATAGAAACTCCAGAGTTCATGCAATTATCGAGCGGCCCATATTTCCGCCTTTTTCAACCATTTTCTTTTTCAATCAATAAATCACTGCTCGCGCGCACGCACGCGTGCACGACTTTACCCGCACCAGGAGTCACGTACCTGCGCCAGTTTGATGTATGGTAATTGATTTCTAGCGTTATCCGAACGATTAGGCAGTTAAAGTCGTGGCGGCCACCGTTGCAATCCCGGACTTTTGTTCTCTTCGGGGTTTACCATTTTGTTATATACTTTCGTCCGTCCCTGTAACACACAATATACGCAGTTATCTTCTGAGGATTTTACGTGGGGCATTTCTAAGATCCTCTACCTCGGACTTCTTGGTCTAAGTCGGTTACCTCGATTCCTTCGAGCACCTATGCGCCATCGTGTTTATATAATAAAAAGAACGAGCTAGTTGAGCCGGTCTCGCAAAATACCAGCCAGTTACGCAACTCGGGTGAGCGCGGGGCTGGCATTATTCTGGGTTAAATAATATTATGTCACTAAGAAAGTGCGGCTTATGCAATTGAACGCGTGCGTATAGCGTCTGTTTCGGTGCACGTTTCTCCCTCTACATCCACCTCGCTTTCCTAACCTACTCATCTTTATCATAGGATTTCTTGTAATGCTAACGGCGATCCGACAATGCGCCAGCAGGAACCATAAACTCATTTCTCGGGAGGTCATGACCTCACGATTCTTTGATCCTTCCTTCGTACGTATAATGTCACCCGGATCCGTTCTCCTCCACCTTCATCTCTTCGTCGACTGACATTTATGAATGAAAGTTTTTGCCAAGTCTGTTACGCGTGCTGAGGTAATACCTCGCGTCATCATAACGTAATACCGGTCATCGTCCATTTCCATTTCCTGCTGGTATTCTGAAATAATAACAGTTACACCTGTTAATCACTTCTTAATAACCTCGCCTATACAAGTGAATTTGGGAAGCTGAATCGAGGTATTTAAACTAGAAGCATGCTTGTAACTAACCTCCATTTCGTGACTACCCAAGTCAAGCGAGTGTTTAAGAATTGGGCTTTTGAATAAGAGCGACTTCCTGTGATCGAGTATAGACTTTTTTGTCTTTTATTCTTGATTTCAAACTATCCTCAGAGCCTCACCGGATTAATTCTCGGTGAAGAAGACATTGAGATCCAGTCAGGAACGCTTTTGGATTATTCCTTCATTGATTTACGTAGTAAGCGTATTTCCTCTTTTGAGCTGACACGTTCGGAAGGATCTAGGGGAATTTGAAACGAGCAAAGCGAGGGAGAGAATATGATTGCGGGCCCGATTGGGCCCATAGAATTCTGGGAGTGGAGCGTAATGACTGTCCAGAAGGAAATTGGCCGTACTTCCTTTAGGGACGATGGTGCGCCAAGCAGTTCTTGTATTTTTTGTTCGCTTCCTCCTTCACTTTCTTGTTCAACTTTTTACAGGAGTTGTTTGACCTTGCAGTCACTGGAGAACGGACGATTAGAGATATTCCTGAAAGAAAAATCTTTAGGTTAGGTACAGAATGGAAATGACTTTATATGCAGTTTGCTAATGAATTCACGATAAAAGTATGTTAGTTGCTCAGTGTACGTCATCTAGTACCGAAACTATGGCGGCCATCCTGATCACGTAGGCACTTGCTAAAATTGCCAGGCGAGTACTCATGTAACGTGTTTCGTTTGTGTAAGCACTCGCTACGTGATCGAGGATGCCCTGACAACGACGTGCATGAATACCCGGACAGCGGCGAAGAACAAACCACGTGTCTTTAAAATTATTCCATTGGCAATTTGACTTTGTTCTTTACCAATCCTTCTAGTTTTCCTCTTCCACACTGTCCAATCCTAATCCCAAATTCCGGAAGTCGTCTCCAGGTAGGACGGTGGGTCCTGGTGAATATCCGTCAGACTGAGTTACATAAGCTTCGATTGTCGAAATTTTTAAGGATATAAATTCCTTTCTTTGAATTCACTTCCAGCGCACCCTCTTTGCACCCTAACTGTCCTTACTTCCCTTTTACAAGGTTTAGCAACCCTGCCCTATGAGAATGGATCATCCGATCCGTGAACTAATTCACCCCAGGACCAGTTCCTTTCCTGTTTTTGTTTGCTGTAACCAACGAACGATTTGGCTTCCTTCCATGTTCAAAATTGCTGATACTTGGTCCACCTGAAACGTAACGAAATTATGTATAAATTGTATAACTGGCAAAACAAACTTGAACCTCGAGGAGATAAGTATCAGGATCCGAATGACTCTGCTGAGATCACCGGAAGTAGCCAAGAAAATCATCAGGCAAGAAATACGGCAATTTATGAAGCAATTTGTAACTCACGTATATTAAGCTCGTTCCTGTGTGTCGATACCGTGTGAATTCGCCATCTTCTTCAGCCATTAGAAGCAGCGAACGTTTCCACAAGTTTATCCAGCATCCTCGTTAAGGATTTCTCTCCCTTATCCACACGTGCACTCACACGCTCGCAGCAACTCTCTCGTTCTCTGACTTTCTGACCCGCAGCATCCACAGCCTCCCGTTAGAGACTCACGTCGGCCCGATTGACATTTGACTGCAAGTATCGAGAGAGATTCGTTTGATCGATTCCAAATGGCGGATGCTGGATGGTAGTGCTTTAAGCTAGAGCATACCGTAGCATACATAAGTCTTATCGTACTCAACTTTAACAGTTGTATTTTTCGCAAATTTATATAAAAAGATAAATAATACAAGTAGAGAGGAGATTGAAGGAGAAGGAAATCGAAGACGACGTAACGGGCCCGTAAGGGGTCTGGGGGGCCTGAGGGTGCCCCTTATACTCTGTACCGTTTGCGCAATCGCCAGCGAGTTCACCTCGACGCGGTAAGAGCGGATGAACTTTTCCGTATCGGGGACGCTTATGAAATAATCTCCCGCGAATCCCGGCGGTAATGCCGGCTTAAGGTACGTTCACACGATATTTCAGATCTTGGAGTTTATCGAGGCGAAATAACAAATTGTTCATTACTATTAATAACAAAATAAAGTCTCAAAAGATCATATACGGTTGGTCCATACGTATAAGTCATTCCGGATGCTGATTGTGTTACTTAATACACGGGATCAATTAGTCCCTCCTGTGAACGTAGCTTAAGAACTCTCGGCACGGGAGTCTGCACGTACTCGTACAGCTACACCTACAGTTACACCTACACCCTGGAGTCTCCGTGCGAGCAGGCGTTCGTGAAGTAAGAAGAGAATTGCGCAAACGGCACCGCAGGCGAGAAGAGAAGACGTTCCTTGCAGAGCAGAAGGCACATACGTGTCTGAGAGACAGAGATACCTCGTGGGCCTTACGGGCCTCACGAGACTGAGAAAAAGGCGTGCTCTTATGTAACTACGTAATCCGGCTTCTCGATATCGTCTGCAAATTAGTTAGCACAGCCTCCGATAGCGGCGTATCCTTTTGCTCTGACATTTTCGCCATGTGTAAATATTATTAAACCTAATGACAGACGGGGGTATCTTGATTACGTCTACCGCGTGCGGTTTGGAGAGTCACGGTCCAGGATATGGGAAGAATGAGAAATTGAAGAGAAGAAACGAGAAAAGGAAAGGAAGGGAAAGGACGATCACGGTTATGATCTTCTGTCCTCGTGACACAGAATAAAGTGAGTGCCGCGTGAATGCCTCCCGTTCCTTCCAAGGAAGAGGACAATGGGGACCGTTGCCGCGATACTCTGGGTCACCGAGGACGAAGACGGCAGGTTCCTGGTAGAGTGATCCTGTGGGAAAATTCTCTTGCGTAAGTCCCGACGAGGGGAGAGAGCGCACAAAGAATCCGGTGGGCCGTAGCCACGTTTCATCCCCGTGCTGCTATTATGTTCCGCAATATTTCTTTCTCTCGCGTTACCAGGACACACGACCAGGTAAATATCCTTCTGATCCACCCTGGACCCTTTTCGTGAAGCTGAGGGATATTCTCTGGACTGGCTGCAGCCCAACTGCGTGACGTTCTCTAATGCCTGAAACGATTTTCAGTTTATTATTGTCCTTCTTGTTGTTATTATTATTCATAAAAATCTCCCACTACTTACCATCAGGATTCTGTCCTATTCAGGCACAGCTTCCAGCTAACGATATTCCGGCTCCCTCTACTTCTGCCCTCCTGCCTTTTTTCCTCTCTCTCTCTCTCTCTCTCTCTCTCTCTCTCTTTTTTTCCTCTCTTTTTTTCTTCTTCTCTTCATCTGCCTCCATGAAAGACACACGTGCGTCCACAGAACCCTCGCGCATCCGATTCCGAGGTGAAAAGAAACCTGTAACGGTCGTAGGAGGAGTCGTGGGAAAGCTCTGGAGATCTCGAAGGTTTTAAAGGAACACGGGTCGGCGCATTGTCTGACACACGACCTGTAGGGATGATCGGTTCTGATCGGGACACCACCCCCTTACCTCTCTCTGTTCCCGCTCAGAGTGTTCTTCTGGATGTCTGATCCCGTTCAGAGTTTTCATGACCCTCGCAGCCTCCGGACTGTGCTAATAATAGAAGCGATCTTGATTCCTCCAGATATAGTTTAGCTTGAGTGACGCCTCTTGGATAAGGGATGAAATCAAAGAGGGATGAATCTTGCTTCATCAAGATGAATCTTGATGTAAGCATAGCGAGGAATGCTGAAAAACTGAAGGAGACTTTGGTTTTCGAGATAAGCTTCGAGGGATGCTGTAGCCGGAGGGATGTAACGGGGGATGAAAGGGACAACTACGGAGAGGGAAAAGTATAGCGGGGATCCAATTACCAAGGAGGAGAACCTCATTGGAGGAAGAGGTCCTTTGTTCAACCCTAATGTAGGCCACACGTCCGAGAATGGGGTGGCTAGACCGGCAAATATCAGATGGTGCACCCTTCTAATCCTTCAAAGGATCTTTGACAAGGGCAGAGGAACGCTGCGGGTTATCTCACTCCCTTTTATCTCATTCCTTTAAATTCCTTTGCATTCTCGCTCATTCCAACTTCTATCGGATCCTTTCTCTTATCTCTCTCCCTCTTTCGTCTAGTGGATCTTCCAGATGATTTACATACTAAACCATATGCAAATCAACTTGGCCATTCACCGATTCGCTCGACGTTCAAATCCGGTTTCTTCATCCCCCACTGGCATAGAGGACCTACCTGCATGTTCATCAGGCTGCGATTTACCGTCTGTTTTTCTTTTCGCTTTATTCATCCCTATCATCATAATATCATCCCCTATTCATCCAAGAAGTCTGAGGAAACTCCTACGTGGGATGAAACGAAAGCGAAGGTAGTGGAGTTTTTGAAATTAGGAAGGTCGTCGGATACGTGGATATTTCCCATGATCACGGGGCACCTGCTCCATCACGATGGGTCCGAATCCCAACGAGCCCTGTAGAAAGAGAAAGGCAACAGGATGAAATGAGGAGAAAAAACCCTAAGGGATCCTAAGTCAGTTCGTAATGGCATCGCATCCCCTCGTACGTCATCGATTCTCTCCCCCATCTCAATTCACCCTCAACCTTTTCAACCCCCCTCTCCGGCCCACCCTGACTTGGCATAAATTTACTCACGTGACCAAGGACCACTGTCAAGCCCACTTCCTAGTTACCTCCTGTGGCATTCTGGGATTTCAGATTCTCAAAATTCCGTCAACACAGGTCCCTGGAAAAAAAAATGTAAATATAACTACCAGCCACAAAAGAATTTATGCATCTGTATCTACAGCAACCCTATGTAACGTTACCTCGTTCAGCTTCATCCCTACAAGATAGTTTGATACGGAATGAGTTAATGGTCGATGAATATGAAAGATTTTGCTTGAGATGATCCAAAAGCAATTTGCGCCAGGGTGTGGTCAACCAGACCGTGACCTACGATCTTTCAGGTTGTCTTTTTCCTTTCACGACCTACACATGCACGTCAGTTGTTCTCCTGTCTCATTCCCATATATTTTTTTTCTCCAGAGAATTCGATGGACCAACCAAGAGGAAGGAAGAGACCACTGGCTCGTAGCACTAATGATGCTTTCCGAGGGTCCGGGTTGTGCCGAGTTATGCGAGACTTAGTTAACTTGGGTGGAGCTCCGCCTCCTAGTCGACCAATAAGAATTCGGTCGCGCTTACGACCTGGCACACTCCGAAGAAAACCACTCACTTTGGTCCATAACGGCTGCTGGATCCTAGAACAAAATATACCAAGTCAGATGGGTTCTTATACGTGGATATTGTAAAGATCAAGCCGGGAAGACGTAGACTAAACATTTAGATAACTCTTTAAATTATGACAATGTTAAATCTTACTGAGATTAAAATGACAATGTATACTCATAGTCACAGGAAGTCTCAAGCGCGCTTTGTGCTGCCGATCGAACATCGGTTTTGATCTACCTTTTAAATAGTACATCCACTGACCATACTCTCTTCGCCATCCTGACAGTATCTCTCATCTTAACTCCTTAGACGATTTAGAATTTAACATTGTCAGAATTGATGTCTATTGTTAGCAATATGAAGTGCAGCTGTATATCTATATATCATAATAAGCAGATTTCGTTTCATTTGACATTGTCGATAAGAAAAAATGACGTACCTATCGATTTTAGAGAATTTTCAAAGATATCTCCAATTTCAATAAAAATAAATGCTTGAAAAAAAGATCCAACCAAAAGGTGAAAGAGTGAGAACCCCTGAAGACAAATGCGTTGGCTCCTTAACCGTGGAAAATCAACAGGTCCCTTAGTCTCCTTCGGTAGGCACTCTAAGAGACGTCCTGTGGTGAGGATAACTGCCGCAAGGATAACACTCCTCTCCTCTCTGAGTTTTCATCTCCACGTGTTTCCCTTCTTCCCAGCCTCCCAGCCATTAGTTAACTTGAATTTTCCATGACAGTCTGAGAGTGTCGCTGCACGTGCACCACGAGCTGCAGAATAGGAACACTCCGTTTAGGATGCTGTTTACAATCCCATCATCTACATTCCACGGACCCTTCCAGTGAGATGATCAGTAATGATTTTACAGATGACTTCAAGATCATAGAAAAATGAAGATTTCTAGAAAGAAAAGAAAATCAGTTAAACGATCTATAAAGAATCGAAAATTTTAATAATAAAAAAATAATACCTAACAGACAATCTTCGTCGATCAAGAAAGTCTCAATATTAGTATTTCCCTTGTAAAATTTAACAATCTCTTAGCAATGGACCATCGACACGTTGAAAACGTTCTTGCTTCCTTGTACCAAGATGCAACCCTGAAATATCAGTATACTCGGTGCGCGGCGATTTCGCCTAATTATCGGCGAAGAGGAAGCCGTTCCCGTTATTCGGCATCGAATATAAGCCTCCAGGCTCCGGGTGGAGAGAAGAACAAGAGAAGAAGGAAGAAGAGTTAGCACGAGAAGATAAGAGAGAGAGAGAGAGAAAGGATACAAGATGGCGAATGTATCGTAACGAATGGCCGGCGTTGAAGAAGCGGTTCCCATGGTGATTAGAGTCGTCCGCCGATAGCCCCTCGGTCAGGTCAGTTAAATCATTGCACGGCGTGTGTCCCCCGATTAAACCAGCATTCCAGTGGACTCCCTCTTCGCATAGCCCAGCACCCGCCGCCCTTCCG